GTTTTATCGGACCTCAGAACTATGCTTTGTCCCTCAACAACCACATGGGCTCCAGACATTTCTTAAAACGCTTGTTGGCACGTTTGACGATACACACCCTTCAAACCAGGGGGTCAACTTACAAATTCTCAGGGCTGGTCTTCATACATTACCCGTAGTTTTAGCTGAGAGAATTTGATGATACGTGCATCCTTTGAAAACAAATTCTCCTCAAGAGTCTCTACGCCGTGTTAGTGTCAACCTTATATGGCAGACCATGTCTTCTTCCCTACCCATAATGGTCATTAGTAGAATTTTGCAACTCTTTAATGTCCGTTTACTCAGAAGGGGTGGGTTTAAATTGCACGTGATTGGGAACACGCCCCATGCCTCGATGACAAAACAGAGTTATGGGGAGGGGTCCCTAACAGACAACAAGGTTTTGAAACTGTCATGTGTCCATCTACTCAGAAGGGGTGGGTTTACATTGTTCGTGACTAGGAACACGCTCTATGTAAGCCTGGGGCAGGTGTCCGCAAGCTCAGGTTAATTTGACTGCAGTTGAAATAGTATCACGACATATCTACCCAGTAATTCAATAACAGATCCCCTCCCGAATTCTCACGATTGTATCATTAATCATGAACTGAAATTAATTGAAGAAATAAGTCTTTGATCACTCTTGGGGCTGCAAGAATGAGTTTGACGTTTGTGACGTCATTGGTTTGCACAATTTACCCTGTGAAGCAAGTCAAAATGGTCGTAATTTAGTTACCAGAAGAAAACCAAAAAGGCAAAAAAAAAACTATACCTTACCACTTAAACTTTTATAGTAATATTTATTGTTCGTGTTTCAATATCATATATACATATGTACAAAAGTTTCGTCCATGGCATAATTGTTGCCAAAACATTTCCTAGTTATTATCAACGAATTTCTACCGTACTTTCTCTTCAACGAATTTGCTCATGCGGAGAGCACCTTTCTTTCAACAAGTTTCTCTCTCATATCTAACTCTACTCCCTTACAAAATTGTACAAATTTTGCCTTGTGGCACATGCATCCATCCTATCTAAAATTTAATGCCAAATTTAGTTCTAGCCTACAGTCTGTAAAACGGACGAGACATTGTTCAACATGATTCATGTACGGTACAAATATCTATTTTAAGTTAATTAGTTTAGTCCGTTATATTATTAGTAACGCTTTCTTGCTCATTTCTTCGCATACGTTGTCGTGCAACGTTTTTATCGCTGCGAAAATATT